CATAGGTTGTGATTTTACAGAGGTGATGGGGATGACGTTCAAAAGGTGAGTATTAACCAAAAAGACACAGGTTCTGATTTCAACAGAGATGAGAAGGAAACTCGGGAATCTGGTTTATGATTATTTAACAAGTAAGTTGAGAATGAAGCTGAAAAGGTTGGTTCTAATACACACAGAATATAAATTGATAATTTAATGGAAGTGATAATTTAGGTTAGGATGTGAATGTGGATAAAAAGTTGAGTTAATTAAAAAGTAAAACCTCAATTGTTCAATACAAATATATACAAGTTGCTGTATTCAAAATAGAATGCACTTCTAATTATTAGTTTTCATATTGAAGCTTCATGATATTATATTTTTTTATTTCACACATCCTTTATATCTGTGAAGTATTATTAACTGTTTCTTTGGAGTTGTTCTGTGTAATATCATCTTTGTTTGACATATCATATTGCTACTTGATGGAGTATCAACTGTTTATTGGTTGTTGTTCTGTGTAATATCATCTTTAATTTCTACATCACCTTATTGTTTGAATGATCTCAACTGTTTATTGTTCTTGTACCTATAATGGGTCATAATTGTATGCAGGAGTGGTTTGTATAAAAGTATTTTCTGTTTGCTATAACTGTCTTTCACTCTAACAATATATTTAGATTTGTATCTTCTAGAAAGGCATACTTGTTTACCATGATGGTTAATTATTTCCAGATTGTTGGAAAACATCATATATGAGACAGTTATCATTGATGACTACAATGCTTATGCAGGTGATGATAACAGATACAACCCCGAAGAATAGTGAGTGCTTCTTGTCCTCTTTATTTATTCTTTTAATTTATCTGCTCACTACTGGAAGTATTTTTTTTCTGATTATGAAATAATTTTTAAAAGAAAAATAGTCTAAAAAGATTGATACATGCTATATTTATAAATGACAGAGTTTCATAAATTGTACTTAAAAAGACTAGAAAGTGTAAGTAATTAAATGTATTGAAATTTTGTGAGAAACCCTTCATTTATTGCTGCTTTGATCATAATCATTTTTGTATGTAAACACTATTTATACATAATATATTTTTGCAGTACAACATTCGCTAAACACATTTTTTATACAAATTGGCCTGGCATGCTTAGTGGTTAGTGCACTGGACTTATAATCTGTGGGTTAATTGCAGGTATGAATCTTGCCTCGAATATACTTGCCCTTTCAGTTGTTGGGGGATTATGTGATGGTCAATTCCACTACTTGTGAGTAGAGAGCAACCCAAGATTTGGCAGTGGATGGTGTTGAGTAGTTGCCTTCCATCTAGTATATCTATTCAAAATTGGGATGGTTATTGCAGGTAGCTCTTGAATAGCTTTGCAAAAATTTAACAGAAAAACAAAAAAAAATCTATATGGGTCTTTTATACACTTTACTTGATAAGAGACTTATATTACTACAAATCCTATATTTCTTGGAAAGAACTCCTTGTAAAAAAAAAACATTCATACTTTTTAGGTAAGACTATATTAAGAAAGGGAGTTATATTAAACTGGAAATTGTTTTGGCTAGAGAGTTGGAGTGTTATAGAAATTGACTTAATAATATTTATCTTTTGGTGAGGACTGGATGTTATTTAAGAAATAAGCCTTATATAAATGACTTAAATCTTTTATGTAACTCATGCTTTTACATTTTTCAAATTTATCCATGATTTTGACTCCATACACACATATACTCAGGTGAACTGAATATTCATTCAAGCTAATGGAAATGAGATCAAACAAGATGACTGCATTAATTCTGCACTGGTTAAGAAAAAATTAGGAAGTTTAAAAAAAAAGATAAGGCTCCTGGGCCAGATATTTCTCCAAGGGTTTTGAAGGAGGTTAAACATTGGATATGTGAGCTACTTACTACTATTTTTTGTCAGTCTTTGAACAGTGGGCAGGTACCAAAGGATTGGAAGTTAGCTAATGTAACTCCTCTTTTTAAGGGAGTTGATAAAAATTGTCCCAGTAATTATAATCCCATTAGTCTTACATCAGTGGTGGGAAAAGTTTTGGAAAGTCTGTTGAAAGATGCTATGCAATGTCATTTAACAAAGTTTAGAATTTTATTGGATAGTCAACATGGTTTCACTAAGGGACAATCTTGCCTTACAAATCTTTTGATGTTCTTTGTAAAGGTTACTGCTTATGTAGATGAGGGTAAGTGATAGATTTGGTGTATCTAGGTTTTCAGAAAACACTTAACAAAGTGCCACATAAAAGGCTTGTAAAAAAAAAGTATCTCTATATGTGGGGGGGGGGGGGGAGGATAAATTAGCAAATTAAATAGAAGAGTGGCTGGATGAAAAAAAGCACAGGGTTGTTACAAATGGAGTTCAGTTAAACTGGATTATTTTCACAAGTGGGGTACAAGTG